AGGGGGTTGGAACGAGGTGATCTTCAAGGTCGCTTCCAACCTGAACCACTCTCTGATTCTATGATTCGGTTGCATTTTATATTCACTTCAGTTCTCATGAAAGATGCATGGGTTGATTGAATGCTCCTCTCCTACCTGTGCGCTTACGAGTGGATAAAATGCTGAAATATCTTCTTTTCCTGTCACCTTTGACCAGAATAGCTGTGGATTACCTCCCATTGAAGAAGTGTGTTGTAGGCCAGATGTCGGTACAGTTTTGACACAATTTTTACCTGCTGAGCTTTTCCCGTTGAGGGAGATGCGCGTACTTACCTGCAGTTCATGCTAGGCTTTTTGAAAAATAAACATGAAAAATAAACATAAAAAATAATGTAAAAATCAGGATATTTCCAAAAGCCATTTGGGATTTCGGCCGAGCAAAAGAATATGCCACGAAAGACGATTTTTTTGAGTACTTCAGTATCCGTGTGAACAAATCTGACTTTCAGCTGCCTTGTTGGTGTGTTTATTTCAGAAGTCGCAGATAATTTAACAAGTTACGCATTTTCATCTGGTTGCATTTCTTGCTTTCTCAGGGTCAGTTCTTTTCATGCCATACGCGATATCCTGCTCCAGAGCTGCGCTTTGTTTTGGTTTTGTATTTACTTTGTAGATACTAGACTCTTTTTATAGGTGCTGAACCTGCAGCTAGAGTTCAGCAGCTGTTTATTCTGTGTACGCAGCAGTAAGATCTAACCCGCGACGTTGTTTTTGCCATCTGATAACGTAAGATCAAGCGTGTTTAAATAACACCATCTAGGACACAACGACAGCAAACCAGCTGTGAAACAAATGTTTCTAACGATCAGATGAGATGGAAAAGATGCATCAATGCTGGATTGCTCCCGGTATCCCAAGTTCTTGCACTGTTCTCTTGCTGCCTTCCAGGCTGCCTTTCACTTTTATCCCAGTCTATACCTTTACAATTAATTTTCAATGCTTTTTCTTTTAATTTATATTTTTACCAGCGTGGAAAAAAATAACCTTGTGTTTAAAGGCCTTATTTCTGACTCTCACTCCCACTCCACTTTGTTCACCTGCAGGAGGATGTTACGGATCCTGAGTCTCAGGAAGAAAAGAAGAGAAACCACTGGGTATCTGAGCCTGGAGACGGTTACAACACAGTGAAGAGTGCGCTCACCGTGCAGGAATATTTTGCCCAGCGCATGGCAAAACTGAAGGGATCCCAGAATGAAACAGAAACAGAAACAAAGGTAGACCATTCCTGCGCAACAGCTGACGAAGCTTTGGAGGCTTCGAAAGAACTGCAAACTAAAGTCAAGAAGAAAAAGAAGAAGCAGAAGAGAGATGAGGCAGAAAGTACAGAGCGCTGCAAGAAACCAAAAGCCAAACAATCCAAGGTAGGTAGCTTGAATGGGAAAGAACTGGATGCTGCGTTAAGCGAATGTCACTCAGGGAAAAAGAAAAAGAAACCTAAAGAACAGGAGGAGGAGGAAAGAATTGGTTGTGATGAAAATGTGGGCAACGGAGAGATTTATGCAGGAATGTCGGATGGGGAAGATCTCAGCGTAAAGGACTGTGAGGCAAAGCAAAAGAAACGCCATAAGAAGAAACAGAAAAGGCAAGAAAAGGAGACAGATGAGTGTATTGAAGGAGCGAAGAGAAAGAAAAAGAAGCACTGCAAGCACATTTAACCATTTAGGAGTCAAGCTGGGACTCTGAGGTGATTTGAACTTCAGCCTGTTAGAGAAGTCCATGTAAACACCCCAGCCAGGCATCCCATATTAATCCAGTCCTGAGCACGCCGCTCCAACTCCAGCTGAAACCACGGACTGTGTTTGAAAACAGCTTTTTTAAGGGAGAACACGGTGATGAGCTTCAGTGCCACGGGGAAAAGGTGTCCCTATGTAGGGCCAACGCTTGTGTGTCTGCACAGCAAGACTTGGAAAAAAACAGTTTTATTATTGAAGCTATCTGTGGTAGCCTGACTCTGCTTCTGGAAACCGAAAGGGGTTTTCCAAAACTTTTTATACTTTTTCACTGGTTTTTGCAAAATCATGTCTAATTTTTTTTTGCACTGATCTCCTTTGACGTACAAAATGAATGTTGTTTCTCCCCAAAACACTTACTGTAATTAAAGGTTTACGCCTGAGTGTCCGTACTAAAGGATGAAATAAAAACACCTCCCCTTGTTTCCTAACCAGTTGTTAACTGTCGTCAAGCAATTGTGACTTTGCAACAGAGCTGTGACTTTATTAATCATGCCTAAACCTTTGGTCCCCGGGGAATATTCAGGGTACCTTCAGTGATGCATCTGGCATTCAAAAATATTCTCTTGGAAAGAGCAAAGGGTTTTCTTCCTGAAATTAGGAAACCAAGTAGATTTTAAAAGCACAACTGGTCAGATGGGTTGGTATTGCCACTTACACGCTGAAAACTTGCAATTTAGATTTAGAGCTCATTTCTCATTGTGCGCCTGGAAATAAGTAATTCTGGAACTCGGCACTACCCTGAGCAGTTTTTTCTAAGATCTTAAACACTCAGCTCGAATTTTGAAGTGTTAATCTCACTTGGCTACGAGCTGTCAGAAGAGATGGGTGAGCTTGGAAGTGGTGGAATGGGAAGAAGCGTTCACCATCCCGGAGTCCGGTTCTGATACGGCTTTGGCCACAGCAAATTGGCAGCACAACCCTGCAATCCAGCCGGTTATCATGGCATGATCAGGAGTAGCTGACCAGAATTCAGATCCATTAGCTGTTCAGCACTTTGGACCTGGTGTAAACCTAAACCATCCCATTGACCTGCTCTGCTGAACGAAACGGCTGCATTTTTATTTTTATTTTAATTTTAATCATCTTGGCTCAGTGGAGTTGCTTAACGTGGCTTGAAAACCATTGTCAGGATGCAGATGTTAATAGGAAAAAAAATTTCCTTAGGCTACCTTTATTGTCAGGTGGAAAAAACTCAGCGTGCAGCACCCAGCCCACAGTGCAGATGTTTTACGTGCAGCTCAGCTCTTCTTTTTTAAGATACCTTGGTTTGCAATGCACCTTTCGTGCCCTCGGGCCGTGCTCATTCATTGCAGCAAAATTACTGTAGTTTTACTTATTGTAAGGGAGAACAAGATGCCTTTCTCTGTGTTTCAGGCTGGCGTGCCAGTAGTTTTTAACCCTTGTGGCATTTGCTTTTCAGCGCTACACAAATATTAAGCTGCTTGTTCCTTGGCTTCCTTCAATGAAATACCAGGAGGTTGCTGTTGAGGTGTGAGGAAGCTCTGTGCTTGAGGTGAAAAAAATAATATTCTCATTGGAAGAAGACACCAAAATGATTTTTCACGTTACATCAATCCTGAGTTTTGTGAATCCCCTGCAAAGCAGCCCTTCTGATTTCTTGCTTACCCCAACTTCGGAATTTTTTTTTTTATCAATAAAAGGCAAAAGCCTGACTATTCCCAATGATTTTTATTTTTTTTTAAACTCTTAAGCAGCTAAACTTTCCGACCTCTCTGGGATTTCAATTTGAAAAGGTGCTAGTCAAGGAATACGGTTTCCTTCTTCGAATCCTGCTGGGCTTGTTTGTTTGCTCTCTGTATTAATCTTCCATGGGTTTCTATTTGCTAATTCTTGTGAGTCTTTGGCTGGATTCCAGGGTCAGTTACAGAAGGAATAAAACCAGGAATAAACTTTTAAATTTATGGTGTTACTAGAGTTAAATACAGTATATCTAAGGTTTAAATCTGGCTTGGATTGAAATACCAGCTTCTCCGCTTGTACAAGAAGTGGGAATTTCACTTTGTCCCACAAAATGGGGAATTTTAATGTGCCTCAAGCTCAAAGAGAAGTACATGCAGAATATAGGTTGTAGTTAAAATAAAAAAAAATAATAGTCCAGTATCGGAAACAAGCAATTCATCTGCTCTGCTCTGTGTTAGTGGTCAGCCAACGTTGCAAAAAGTTCTTCTTACCAGATAGTGTCTGGTGAAACAGATGATTGAAACAACAGGAACATGTTTCAAAGCAAGAAATTATTCTTCTTCTTTTTTTTTATAGCAGATTGTGAGTCCGCTTTTAACCAAACTCTGGTTTGGCAAGGAGGTCTTTTTTCGAAAGCATCAGAAAAAAGAAGAATTACGTCATTGCCTGAATGGTGAAATTAGCAGAATGTAAGCCTGAAGAAATTCCTTGGCTTCATTTCTGTGAAAGCCGGGCTTTTCGTCAAAAAAAAGAATTACGTCATTGCCCGAATGGTGAAATTAGCAGAATGTAAGACCGAAGAAATTCTTTGGCTTCATTTCTGTGAAAGCCGGGCTTTTCAGCAGCGAGGTCTTTTGCCATTTGTCCGTTTGTACTCACACAACGCGGCACAAAATCACATACCTCAAAGGGAAATCACCTAGAAACCGGGCAAAATGAGCATCGCCGCTTTGCAAACAGCGAGAGATGTATATGCAGCAGTAGTAACCACCAGGGTTAATTTAAATCAAAGATGCACGATGCTATTAAATACAAGCTGCGAGACAATACATTTAAGGTTCCTGGGGTCTATGTGAATTTCAGCCCATCAGGTGGTATCTGAGGTGCAGCTACATTGTGAAATTTAAGAGTTTGGGGACAGTTCAGCGTCACCTTCAATTAATGCGATTTTCCTTTAAGCAAAAGGCAGTTCTGGCACTGAACTTCCTTCAAATCATCAACTCTAGGGGGACAAAAAAAATTAAAAAAAGAAATTAGCTGGATGCACTGACGTAATTAACCAATTTTCTCCTGTTTAAACACACGAGACTGAGGTTCTTGAAGCATCCACCTTCAAAAGGCACAATTTACGTCACGAAAACCTCCGAACCTGCCAGCCCCAAGACGAGGAAGGAAGCTCCGAGAAGAGAGGAAAACCACGCAGAGGCAATTGGAGAAAAGATTTTATGACGGTGTGAGGACTGCAAGTGCCTGGAGGAGACCTTTCCTCCATTCCTGGGCAGCACGAGGTTTGCTACAGGCTTGGAAACCTCATCCACGCCGAGGAGCTGAGCTCACGGGGTATTCGGACAGTAACCACGTGGGGATGAGCTCGTTTTACGTCGTGTGAGCAAACTTGTAGTGATGCGAGATCGGTGAAACACGGTAAAACGAAAAAACGGTGGTGGCCAAAGTGGGAAGGTTGTCCCCATGCCAAAGTGAAGCTCGAGTTCTCGGCGAGTCAGAACTTAAATCCCGCTTCTGAGTCACTTCAAAAATATTTTTCTTATCTTACTCCGTTTTTAGGATTCTTTAAATTCTCCCAGTCCATTTTTATGCGACAAAAATCCATTAATTTCGTAGCTCCGTTTTAAAAATAGGAAGGGCAGAAGTGTGTCACCGCCACGAGTGTGTGCACTGAAAATTTTAGCATCTTTTTTCTTTTTTTTCAGTCTACGTTTTTTCGTGGCGGGCTGCATAATGGGAAAGCTCTGGTTTCTGGGGAAAATCGGGCCCGGGGAGGACAGGCAGTGGACAGGGTTGGTTCTTCTCTCTCCGTGGCAAAGCTGAACCTCTTGAGAGATGTTTCTTGTGCTGGGAACCCCCCGCTGCCTCTGCGAAAGCTGCCCTTGGGAGACAAGAGCTCCATCAATAATTAAGGACCACGTGAAGATGGAGCTAATTTAAGATTTGCGCTTTCTCACACGTTTTTAATGTCTCCGAAGCTGAGGAGGGGGTGAGGGTGAGGGCAGGGGTTTGCTCGGTGAAAACAGACCGAGGAAAACGCCAGATGTGGGATCCGCGCCGAAAAAAAAGGATGTTTTTAAAGGATGGTCTTGCCTGTGTGGCGCGAAAAGCTGGGTTCGGTCGCGGATTTTCTGCTTGACCCGTGGGAGTTCCTTGCCACCGTTCCCCATCCGTGAAAACGGGGAGAACAAAGCTTTCTTCCACCCTTTGTCTGTGCTCGGTCTATTTTAGCTCGTAGCTTTTAGCCGTGATTTCCCTGCTCTCCAAGCCCTGGGAGAGCTCTGCTGCTTCCTGTGCCCCAGATACAGGTAAAGCCTTGCACCAGAATTGAGAAGGTAAAGCATAAAAAGTAACGAGGAGGGTTGTTTTGTTTCTTTTCCCCAGATTGCTGCTAATCACCCCGATACGGTCGCAATTAAAAGGTGGCATTTTCACATAGTCTTTATGTAACGCAAAGCTTCCTACAGGACAGGTTTAACCAGCATTTTAGGTAGGGTGCAGAATGAAACCCATCTTACTAATGCAATCAGAATGCCAGGTGCTAAAGGAGAGGGGAAAAAAAATAAGTGGGTTTTTTTTGTATTATTATTGCTTGCTGCCTTCCAGCATGGGAGAAAAAACAAACAAAAGATGTGTTTTGTGGTATTCCTTCGCCCTGCGATTGGCACGGGAGTCCTGGCACGCATCTCGGGGTGTTGGGAGTTCTGAAAATGAGGGATCAGGCAGAGGGATGCAGAGGGAATAGGGAGGACCAGAAAAACCCAGTGAGTTGCTGCAAGAGCCTCCAGGCACCAGCAGCAGGAGGTAGACGCGGGTCCCGTCCCTGCTCGGCGCTTTGTATCCTCACCCAGAAAACTTTTGCACATCCTGCAAACCGCGCCTTGGAATTGCACGTCGTGTGAAAGGGCTCGAGTGCAATTCCTCTGCTCTTTTTTCCCCTGAGGAGATGTGTTGTACTACTGCTCCTAACATTTTCTGGCCTCTGGAGGCTCGAG